GACGATCGAAGGACATCAATGGAAGGCGAGAGACTTAGCAATAACAGTGGGGGAATCATCGACGGAAACGGAAGTCGCCCTCTTTCCCAAACTTCTAGCGAACTAGACACCCTTGGACCACTGCTGCAACCAGTCAAACATCGTGAAAAGGCAAAACTGCAGGTGAATAAATTTCTTCACTTTCTTTTTTAATTTACATTCGATTTTGAATCTAATTTTTTAAAAAACTACACTGGAAAATTTATAATCTTCACAATAGTTCGAACAATTTTTATTCCGAAATTGTATAAATATTTTATTTTTAGTTTTTTATCATTTAAAAAGCATTTAAAAAGCAATGTCTAAGATATTTATGATAAATTATCCATGGATTGCAAATATGTCAAACATTAATGATGAGTTGTCGAATAAAAAGCTTCGGAATAGATTACGTCATAAATGACATGTCGAGGGTCATTCAAAGTGTGTCAATAACTTTTCCAATTAATAATGGTTGTCAAGATAAACTAAGAGACAGAAATCATTACAGAGGTAATTTTGCAACATGTGTATATTTGCATTATGTAAGATAATTTCGAATTTTTCTATCTGATTTATACCTTCAAAATTATAATCAGAAAAGTAAATAATAAATTCACGATAAATTAAAATCCATTTCGTCAATCGTGGAAAATAAAAATCAATCCTTTCACCTAAAGTAATTATATTCGATAAAAAAATGAACCAACGCATGTTTAAATACTTTTTTGAACGATATTGTATCGCGAATATTCACGATTTCAAGTTTTATTTCCGCACGTTAGACGCGTAACAGTGTGTTATATCGTTTAACTCGACAGTCCGTTTCACGGTTTGTAAATTCAATGATTTATGGACGCAGAGGCCGCTCACGAGATACCTTCCCATCAAGTCGGAGTCCCTGGACCTGAGACATCACATCGAGACTGCCGGGCACCAGTTACCCCTGATACACGATGTTACGGTTGATACGACCAGTTGCAGTGGTTACCTGTCGAAAATGAGCAAGAAGTTCCATCATTGGAACAAACGATGGTTTGTCTTTGATCGAAAAAGGAAGACATTGTCCTATTACAGCGATAGCACGTCAAGAAAGGCACGCGGAGTGATCTATTTTCAGGTACATAATGCATAAAATCACGTTGAAATATCACGTTTTAATAGATAAAACTGTTAAAAAATTTGTTCGAATATAAAGAAAAAACAATGAATAGCGAATAAATATATTTTTAGATATATCAGTAATAAATTCTTTTGATAGAAGTCCAAGAAAAAAAAAATAGAAATTTATATGATATCTTATAATTAATGCTACTTACGATCATTTAGATTAAAGAGTTAAATGGGTTAAATGGGGCTTGTACTCGTAAAAATACTTGTAATTAGTGATGAAGGAAAAATAAGAATTTAATTCATTTAAAAAATTAAGTTTAAAAATAAGATAGAAATAATTAATAAAATTATAAATTATGTTAATTTAAATCCTTTATAATTTTTATTAATATTATAAAAATTGTACATTAAACATAATCTTCAAATTAATTTTGCACAAAATATTCTTTATATATATATTGCTGCAATACAACAATTTTATGTTAAATTAAAATTCAAATATTAAGTTTAAAATTTTACACAAGATAATTTCTTGTTTGTTTAGTCGATTGAAGAAGTTTATGTGGACCATATGAACACCGTACGCTCACCACAGCCATCGTTGACTTTCATCATCAAAACGTCAACTAGACTATATCATTTAATGGCGCCGAGTCCAGAGGCTATGAGAGTTTGGGTGGACGTCGTCTTCACCGGTGCCGAGGGATATCACGAATTTGATCATGGTATCTGATAAGCTGTTCGTTTCTCACGTTTCTGATCGAGATTCGTTTTACTCTCGGGAATCGCGCGATGGAGTGATTCTTTACCTGTAGCCTGCAGGTTCAAAAAACGCTTCGTGACCGTTTAAAGACAAGATTTGTTGCGAGGAGAGTCGCGACTGCCTATACTTTCGAGCTGGATTTGACTTGTATATTAAATACATAAAAATCTTTTGAAATCTTATAAAGGAAATTGATAATTATATTGGTGCTAGATGCTCGTTTTGAGCAATTGAAAAAAAAAAAGAAAAAATAAATATTGGAAACAATAGTTAAATAGACGATGATAGTGAGCTTTTTAACTTAAAATTTGATGTCTTAAAATGAATGATGATGATTATGATAAAAGAGAATGAATTGATAAATAATTATATATATATATATATGATTCAACAATGAAATTTAATTGATAATGATTTATATAAACTCATTAAAAAATTGATGGTATTAATGATTAATGAATTATATCATAATGAGGCATTAATCATTGAAGTGTAGGCTAATCACAACTTGATTTTATTTAAATGAAATAAATAAATTTGATAGAATTTATTATTAAATTTTGTAGACATCTTTAATCTAGTCTTCCAGCATAGATACTTCAAGAATAATGAGTTAGTGATCTAACATTTGAGAAAGAAAGTTTTCAACAAAAGTTCAACATATATTCTGATATAAATCAAAAACATAAAGTCCCTAAGAAATTGTAAATATATGTCCCATTTTATATTTTCTTTGACATTTTCAATAAATATCTTGATATTGCTTAATACCAAGGATTATATGAAATACAAAATCTTTCGTGTTGTTTGTATAAAGGAATCTTTTAAATGATATATTCACACATACATAGTTTTTCATAACTCTAATATTTACATATTGATCTTTCAATCATAGAAATGATGGTAGAATTTTTCATGTTTTTTATTAAGCAACAAAGTTTTTCTTACATACATGTCATATTAATTTTCATTAGCACAATAATAAATATTTAAGTATCCATATCTATTCATAATGCACAAATTATGAATATTCCTCAATACACAATTAAATATACAATTGAAAGTAATCTTTTAATGAATAAATAAGTCTGAATATACCATATTGTATAAATCAACATATCTAAATAAATATTAAAAAAAACCTTATAAATATAAAAATTTTGTCAAATTTACAATTTAGAAATGTGTTCATACTGATTTAATTATTGATCAACTGCCCTAAACTTCAAATCAAGGAATATCTGTGGTTAATGTACAGATTACTGGATATCTCAATTTTATAACACATTATGTGTATGTAAATAATTATTTGAACACAAAAAAATTGTGATTGATTGAAATAGTTTATGGATATTTATAATTTTTCTATTTTGTATATCATTGGTTGTTAGAAATATTATTATTATATATTTGATTTGATTATCATTACATATGTCATTAAATAATTTTGCAAAAGGTTATATTATTGCATTAAAGTAAATTATAAATTGTATTACGTACTATGCGTATAGTATTTTTGGTTACATTTATGAAAAAAATTAAAATGCTCCTTATTAATAAACTATTTACCTTATTAACGAATGTATAAATACCTGAATATTTTAGAAATAAGCATCCTGTACAGTAGAAACAAAATAGAAACACAGTTACGAATATTTTAATTCTTTTTATTTTTTAAAAAAGTTATGATTTGTTTAAAAAACTAGCCATAGCTATTACCATCAGTAAAGACAAGGAAAGTAAATAGTGAAACAAGGATAGAGATAGAGTAAAAATATTGAAATCAGCGCCATCTTCAGAGTGCCGCAAATGAAACACAAAAAGAAAGGATAGAAAATAATTAGTAAAGGACAGAGATAGGTACAAACATACTTGTGGCGCCATCTCTTGAGTATTGAAGATATTACTTTACAATCAAGATAAGGTAG